TTATTATTATTGTTATTATTGTTATTAGCATTTTTTACTTATTTTTATTGTTATCATTGTTTATTATTAACAGCATTGGGGGTTGTGGTAATAGAATTTTCCTATATTATGGAAACCTTAAGTTGAATATATTAGTTATCATTTTTGGGGTTCGAATACCTTTCTAGTTTTTCTTTCCCGAAATGGACCCTTCAAAAATTATTTTACCTATTTTCAGGGAAACTCCTGGAATATCAAACGCTAAATAAATCTCTTTTAGGTTTATATGTTCTTTTCGTCCATCGCTCCATTCCAAAAATAGAAAAACTTTCTTTCCCAAATTTTCCGCTCTCTTTTTCTTTCCTCTTATGTAAGAGCATCCAGATCACCTACTTGCATCCGAACTAAGTAACACAAGTCTTCCATTTTTTTTTACAATTTTTTCCAATATTTTTCCTAAGTCTCCACACCAAAACAGTGTATTAAATATGCGTGTATCAACTTATCACACGTATTTTATGCAACGGGTGAGGATTTATTTACATGAAAACCAGGTTAGCGTGAGTGTGCCAGACATTTCAACCGTCACACCATGATCTGGGTTCTGTTACTTCGTTTGGATGCTTGTTGATGTTCCTTCATTTAGGATCTTCGTCCCACTGTTTGTCCCGGGCAGGGAAGCATGTTGCCGTTCATTAAATGTTGATCACTGCTGTTGTGGTGGTTTGCCTGTGAGGTCCTCTCTCGTCACATTCTGTGATCCATGTCTAGTCACTTGTAAGGAAATAAAAGGAGATGAAAGAGTCTCTGTGTGTGTGTGTCTGTATGAGAGAGAGAGAGAGAGAGAGAGAGAGAGAGAGAGAGAGAGAGAAAGAAAGTGGAGGAAGATATTAAGGACGTTTGCAGTTTGAACAGTGTTGATTAGTAAATGAATTTTAACAGTAATTTATTTTTCATTCCTTGATTGTTTAATTGTTTGGATTTGATTTTTTTAATGGCTGCCTAAAATCTAAAATTTGTCGCTTCGGTTCTGGAAATAATTTTTTGTTACTGCTGAAAAAGATGAATGAGTGAATGAATGAATGAAGGAATGAATGAATGAGTGAGTGAATAAATGAATGAGTGAATAAATGAATGTCGAGTTGATTCTCAGATCTTCCTGTTGATGACGTCACTCATTTGATAAACTGCCACCTTTTACGTAGGTGTCTTATTCCATCAAAGATCTTTTGATAAAGAACGAAGAATAAATGGGTTGGAAGTGAGGTTGTCATTTTTTGTTGTATATTTATTTTTGGTTTATTGATGTCAATTAGGACTGCTTCTGCAATTTTAAGATGCGTGTAGTTGCTGTTCTGGTATATTACTTTGGTGTTGCTGTCGAGGATTTCACGGCTGATTGACATTAGTGTTATTATTATTTATTATTGTTGTTGTTGTCGTTGTTGTTGTTGTTGTTGTTGTTGTTGTTGTTGTTGTTGTTGTTGAAGAATTAATATTCTTAATGGTTGTTTGTCATTCCATGCTTTTTAAAGGCATTCTTTCGGATATTTTCTGTTCAATAACTGCATTAAGACTTTTTTATGTCTTAAAAACTTTTTATTGAGTTATGTTGTGCGTGTGTGTGTTTGTGTGTGTGTGTGTGGGTTACACAATTTTTTGATGTGATGATGACAATGAAGATGAGATCATAACACTATGCGATCGTTAACATCTGTTGTTTGCCTATGTATGCATGTATGAACGTTTGTAAAACAAAAATTTTTGTATCATGTATTTGTTTGTATGTATGTACGTATATATGTATTTGTATGTACGTATGTATGTATTTGTTTGTATGTACTTATGTATGTATATATGTATTTGTTTGTATGTAGGTATGTATGTATTTGTTTGTATGTATCTATGTATGTATTTGTTTGTATGTAGGTATGTATGTATTTGTTTGTATGTATCTATGTATGTATTTGTTTGTATGTATGTTTGTGTATTATGTACGTGCGTATGTGCAGGGTGATACAGTATGGTAAGTAGTGTATGTTGTTTTCAACTTGTGTTTTAGGTCATGTTGGGTTGTGTTTGTCGTAATTCAAAAATATCTTCCGAATAATTTAATGTCATTTTCCAGGCAAGCCTAATTTTCGCTTACCCTCCAAACTCATTGTTGACAGCTGCAACCTATGGCGATGACATCTCATTAGGTCAATCAATCAATCAACCAGTCAATCAATCAATCAATCTCTCAATCTATCAATCAATCAACCAATCAATCAATCTTCGTTTTGCGTCCAGAGATCCAGTTCTCCCGAGGTAGGACGTTGTTTTCTTTGCCATCAACTTTTTGCGCCAAATTAGGCGATCAGTTGTATCCATTTCATTTAAACTTAGAGCTTTCATGTCTCGCTCGATTGTTTGCGACCAGGACTTCTTTGGACGGCTTTTGGGATGTGTGCCAGGTACTTCAGCATCTCATTAGGAAGATTCAAAAATTTTAACAGCGGTAAATAAGAAGAGAGAAGAAGGCAATTGTGGAAAGTTAAAATGAATGCAACAACTTGTTGAGTGAGTTGTAAGCTCACTTAGCATGTGTTAACGTTACATTGAAAGATATTCTCGTGTGTATGTGTAGGTACGTATGTTGTGTGTGCGTGTGTTGTGTGTGTGTGCGCGCGTGTGTTGTGTGTATGTGTTTGTATGTGTGAACATCTTCTCCCTCTCATCATCATCGTCTTCTTCGTCATCATCATCATCATCGTCTTCTTCGTTATCATCATCAACCCTGGATGAATGCCCTAGTTCATTTTAGCTTCAAACGCAAAATGACACAAACATCATGCAACGCGGAGAGACTTAAAAAAAATAATAACGCTAATAACATTATTATATTATAATTATTATTATTAATCATATATTAATAATAACAATAATAATAATGAGAACAATAATAATATTAATGATAATAATAATAATGATGATGATGATAATAACGATGATGATGATAGTAATAATTATAATAATAATTATAATAATAATTATAATAATAATTATAATAATAATAATATTGTCATTTATAATGTTAATAATGATAATAATAATTGCAATAAATAATAATAAAAAACCAAGAAAGAAATTGAGGTAAACAATAAAATAAACATTTAATGGCAAGCAGATGTTGTGGCCTGCGTGTGTGTGCGTGTGTGTGTGTGTATGCCCGAATGAATTCAGAAAATTTTTAAAATTCTCAACATGTCAAAAAACAAATTAGCAGAGAAGCAAACTCATTATTATTATTATTGTTATTATTATTTTTATTATTATTGTTATTTATTGTTAATATTATTATTGTTACTATTGTTGTTATTATTATTATTATACATTATTATTATTGTTGTTGTTATAAATATTATTATACCATGTCTTCATGTCTTGCTTGATTGTTTGCGATTGTTTACTATTACATGTAAAGTTTGAAAACGAAGAAGTTGAAGATGTACTACATCACCTACAGAAGGGAAGGCCAACTACTAATACTACTGCTGCTGCTGCTACTACTACTACTACTACTACTACTACTACTACTACTACTACTACTACTACTATCAGTCAGTCAGTCAGTTTATAAAGCGCTATTTCCACGATGTTCAACAGCGCTCCTCAATGAATTTTGGAAACAGATGGGTCTTGAGATCCGCTCTGAACTTCGTAAGTGATGGAAAAGTAGTCAGAGAAGGAGGTAGAGAGTTCCAGAGAAAAGGGCCAGAAAAAGCAAAAGAGATTTGGCAAAAGAGTGTTTAAGAGTTAAGAAGAAGTGAGAGCAAGAAGACGATCGGGTTCAATAAATATATCTGATAAGTACTGGGAAATAATTTAGATTGAGACTTATACATAAATGTGCAAATTTTAAAAATTATTCTACTACTACTATCACTACTACTACTACTGCTACTAGCAAAATAAATAAACGAAAACATTAAATAAAATTAGAAACAAACAAACGAACGAACAAACAAACAAACACAAACAGAGCAATTTTTGAATAAATGAAGAAAACAAGTTTATATAAAAATTGAACAATTGAGCTAATGAACCAAACTTAATTAAGGAACCACATAGAAAAATGAATCGTTTAAACTTATTTAAATAAAAATAAAAAAAAACAAAAATATAAAAAAACACACCCAAGTAAGATAAAAAAAACTCCGAATAAAAATTTATAACCTCGATGCACTTTTAAGTTTACGAATCTATCGCAGGGCGTCATTTTAAAAAGCGTTTTAATTTTTTATTTATTTATGAAGCAACATTATGATGGGCGATTAGTGCAAGTGAATTAATCAGAAAATAAATACTGGATGGGGAGATGAATGAATGAATGATTGGATGAATGAATGAATGGAAAGCATATTTGGATGGTTAAATGGATGGGTAGCAGTTAAAAGACGCAAGGATCTCATACTTCTTTAACATGTAACCTGACAGAGACGTATATATAACATACCTTACATACATTTTTATTTCGTACGAACCCACAAGCATCTTATGATAGGCACACCTCACACGGTAGACCGAGTTTCGGAGAGGCAGTATTTAGACGAGGCCATCGCGAGACATCATCTAGAAATAATAATTCTGACGATGACCAGGATTAATTTGAAGTTTAGCTGAATGAAATGAAATAATAGAGTTATCAAAAAAATGGCGAAAAATTTTGACAAAAATAGTAGTTGCTGTCTGGTTCTCTATAAACCTGAAGCTATAACATCCACACCACCACGTCACGTAAACACACACATTGTGACTGATGTGACAGAGTTGGTGTCGTCTATTGATGGTTCTGAAAAAGTATGCTCTCTTAATGATGCGTTGCATGTCTCAAGTATTTGTGTGTGTACGTGTGTCTTTGCGTGGTTGAGTGCCTGCATGCGTGTGTGTGTTTTTGTACAGTCTCTGCACGAATCATTTTCAAAATTGCAGTTCTGACCATCAAAATATCGTCACATCTCCAGCTTACGTTTTCCATTTCAAAATTTTCTCGCCACGAACATGCCCCATCCCAGCGAACATAGTCTGCGAGTTTCTTTAACATTCCTATCGCCAAATCCAGCCTCGCTAACCGCCACGCCGTCTGTCTGGAATGCGATATCTCTTGAGTTGATGAGACAATGTTCCTCGTCGAGCGGCTTTGAAGAGAGTTTTCATGCCATTCATTACTTCATTTTATTGTCAATTTATTTTATTATTTATTTTATTTTTAATGTTAAAACATTTTTTCTTCCTCCATTTCTTTATTAATTTATTTAGTTATCTGTTTAACTTTGTACTACTGCCTTAAATGCTGTAACAGCTTCTGAGTCTGTCAGATTTTTAAAGAATAATAATAAAAAAAATAATTAACCAACATAGCATCCATTCATTTCAACGTGATCAAAACATTTCCAATAAAAAAACTCCAAACAATAAAATGTCTGCCCGCCAGAATGTGTTGGAAAGAAGTTAATTACACGCCTTGACAGGACGTCTCTGTTTCAAACGCCCCCCAAAGAGCGGGAAGGGGTCGACCTCTCTCTATTAAAATTTGGCCGACAACTATCAAATGATTTGTATTACACAACAACGAATGTGGCTACTGCTTTTTCATTGTGACAATCATGACGATGATGATGCTGATGATGATTGGATGATGATTCAGTGACTTCATCGCGCTTCATTTAGCCTATAATAAGTAAGACAAACACAACTTGTCAAAATTTTTAAATTCATTGTCACCCAGCAAGCAATTAATAGGCAAACCACGAAGAGATTAATTGATTGACTGAATGAATGAATGAATGAAAAAGTATCTAAAAAATGAATAAACAAATAAATAAATGAATGAATGAATTGGTAAAAAATATTGAACAAATTATTATTACTACAGAAATATCAAACGAGGAAAATCTTTCATAAATGAACAATCGATGAAACGAATGATAAAAATAAAATAAATTAGTAAATATGAACGATTGAGTGTAACAAAAATAACTATATATAAATATATATATACAGTTATGTAAAAATTCTACCGAATTGTTGTTATTAATCAATTTAAAGTGACATAAGGTATAATTATGTATGCAAATTGAGAAAAACAAAGTTAATCAAACGTTAACATTTGCAAAAACTATATACACACGCACAAACACACACACACACACACACACACACACACACACACACACACACACACACACACACACACATAGATATACATATAATTTTCGATGGTTATAAATAATGATGATGCGTTATGCTGCTCATTCCAGTTCCAATAGTTCCAATAAGCCCAAATTCATTCATTCACACATTCACTTCATTATCATCATCACCACCATCATCGTCGACAATATCATCATCATCACCATCATCATCATCATTACTATTATCATCATCATCACCACCACAATCATCATCATCACCATCATCATCAAAATCATCATTACCACAATCATCTTTCTCATCATCATCATGATCATCATCACTGATCATCATCATCATAACTGCCTCCTCGACTTGATGTACCGATCATAATAAGAACCGACCTCAACCGGAGCAGCCTGTCTGCTCTGCTGATGTGATCTTGATGATGATGGTGGTGGCGATGATGATAATGATAGTGGCGATGATGATGATGTCGTTCTAGCAGTAAACTTAGTCGATGATGATGTTGTTGTTGTTCGCACTGCAGATCCTGCAAATAGTTTTTTACGCAATTGAATGGTGTGCAGATGAATGTGAGATGGAGTTGATGTGTGGTTGCGAGACCATGCTGCATGTATGTGTTGCGAGACCATGCTGGTTGTATGTGTTGCGAGACCATGCTGCATGTATGTGTTGCGAGACCGTGCTGCATGTATGTGTTGCGAGACCGTGCTGGTTGTATGTGTTGCGAGACCATGCTGCATGTATGTGTTGCGAGACCGTGCTGCATGTATGTGTTGCGAGACCGTGCTGGTTGTATGTGTTGCGAGACCATGCTGCATGTATGTGTTGCGAGACCATGCTAGTTGTATGTGTTGCGAGACCGTGCTGCATGTATGTGTTGTCTTATTATTCGTTCAGTCTTAATTACTCCTCAAATTACGTATCAACCAACATGTGACAGACGGGGATCCGCTTGCATTCGAAAGCGGTCACTGCAACATTAGAAGCAGGCGCGCAACCATTACACCATCGCTTAATATGCATATAACTAACGACTGCATCATTAACTGACCTTGTTGCTTCGATGATGATGATGGTGGTGATGGTGAGTGACCATGCCTCGTTTGGTGATGAAGTGATGATGATGATTGGTGTTGTTGCGGGGATGATGATGATGATTGTTGTTGTTGCGGGGATGATGATGATGATTGTTGTTGTTGTAATAGTGATGATGATGATTGTTGTTGTAATAGTGATGATGATGACTGTGGCATCTGCGTTTGAGCCACTGGAACAATTATTTGAATGAAAATGATTTAATAAATCATACGAATATACGAACATACATAGAGGCATACAAAAAAAACATACAAACAAACATGCGAGCATGCTAACTACATACAAACATACAAACAAACAAACAAGCATACAAACAAACATACAAACAAACATACAAACATACAAACTAACCATGTTCAGTAACTTCCCTCAAGTTGTATCTCAACTTGATAAGTTCAATGAAACCATGGTTAACCTGGAATGTGGTGATGGTGGAGTGATGGTGGAGAGATGGTGGAGTGGTGGTGGGGTGGTTGTTATGCAGATGTAAGCCAATGAGAAAAACTGAAAAATCAGACAGCCAGCCATCTAGCCAAACATAAAATTTGGCTAACCATAAAAAGTGAAAGAATGATTTTTTGGCTACCAACCGACCGACCGACCGACCAACCAACCAACCAACCAACCAACCAACCAACCAACCATCCGACCGACCGACCGACCGACCGACCAACCGACCGACCGACCGACCGACCGACCAACCAACCAACCAACCAACCAACCAACCAACCAACCATCCTACCGACCGACCGACCGACCGACCGACCGACCGACCGACCGACCGACCAACCAACCAACCAACCAACCATCCAACCGACCGACCGACCGACCGACTGACCAACCAACCAACCAGCCAACCAACCAACCAGCCAACCTGGCCACATAGGACACAAAAGAGATTGAATCCCTGCTTGAAGAGGTTTTTGATGGCAGCATAACTCAGCGAATTGAAAGCTCTGATCAAGTTGTCAATCTCCTAGCAACAAATTAATCCAATACTAACTTATAATAATAATAATAATATAATAACAACAACAATAATAACAATCAATAATAATAACAACACTAATAATAACAACAACAACAATATTACTTGTTCTCTTCTGACGAGGAACGGGTGCAGATGACGGGCGTAGAAGACGGAGGAGCCCTTCGTGGCAGGGCTGACAAGCCACAGTAGGGTCAATATCTTCGTCTCGTAATAAAATGGGATCCTGTTGTTGTTGAAGTTGTGGATGTTGCTGTTGAAGTTGTGGATGTTGTTGTTGAGGTTGTAGATGTTGAAGTTGTGGATGTTGTTGTTGAAGTTGTGGATGTTGCTGTTGAAGTTGTGGATGTTGTTGTTGAAGTTGTGGATGTTGAAGTTGTGGATGTTGTTGTTGAAGTTGTGGATGTTGTTGTTGAAGTTGTGGATATTGTTGTTGTGGATGTTGTTGTTGTGGATGTTGTTGTTGTGGATGTTGTTGTTGAAGTTGTGGATGTTGATGACGTTGTTGTTGTTGCTTGTTGGTGACACTGATGTTGCTATAATGTTAATGTTGTAAGGGGTAATGTTGTTAGTGTTGTTGTTGTTGTTAGTGTTGCTGTTGTTGTTAGTGTTGTTGTTGTTGTTAATGTGACGTTGTTTTATTTATTTATTTATTACCATGCAGTTCTCTGCTTACAAATCTTACCAAATTTTGTTATACAGTATTCAAGATTTAGACAGATAGAACCAGAATTGAACCAGGACAAAAAACCACACACTCCTACCATCCTAGCTATCTGGTTTTGTAAGTGATGTTGTTGAAGCAAGCAACAAATCAAGAAAATAAACAATAAATACCACTCAACACTATTCAAGCTCGACCACACGCATTCTCACACTCACTCACACGCAGATACACTCACGCACACACACATACACACCCAAACACACACCCTACACTCTTCAACAAACAAACACACCAACCAAAGAACAAAAGGGTCAGAGAACTTTTCCACTGAGAGAAACAGAGAAAATACAATCCAGTAGATTAGCCATTGGGTCTGGGAATAAAACAAATCAACCCCAATCACACACGATCATAATAATCATTAAAAGTGCAAACATTTTTATACATTTTTAAAAATATAATCACTGTTAGATTTAATGATGTCTGCTTATTGACTGATGTTGTGGTTATCATTTTGAAAATTGAACTGACACAAACTGTGATATTTAAACGATTAGGTTGTATCACAAAGATGAAGTATGATATATCATATCATTATTGATTAATATCAAACCATCATTAGTATAGCCATATATATATATATATATATATCATGATTTTATCAAATTATTATAACTTATTTTATAATTTAATTTAATTTTAATTTTAAACGACACAATCATCAATGTTCGTTTTATTTTTATAAAAAATTAAATTCCAAAATTGATAATGGCAATCCCATCAGAAACTTTTAAAAATCATAAAAGCTAAATGGATAATTAGATAGGTCTTATTTTATTATAAGTTGCAAAAACTAACTACAATTATTTATAAAAACTATTTTAATAAAAATAATAATAATTATTATAATTTCATAATTTTAAATAAACACCAACATATTTTAGGCTGTCCCTCTGTTGAATAGCCTTGTAAGACTGGTAGCTAGGGTACACAAAGCCAACCAGAAGTCTTTGATGAATTTATTTTATTACCAGAATTACAGATAATATTAAATTATTATTTATTTATTTATTAATAAATTATTTATAAATTATAAAACTAAATACACAAAAAACCATGATTAATACAAGATATATTGATAAATGAAGATAGAGATGAATTCAAAAAAATTGGTTTTCCATAATTTTAATTTCTTTGATTAAACTTGATCTTGAAGCCAGTCAAAAAGTTTTTGGCCTCCCACAAAAGATTAAAAAAGATAATTAGAGTTTAAAATATGATTATTTCATTATTACATGAAAATGGTGGTTTTTTTAATCATATTAAAGACTAAAAAGATTAAGATTAACAATAAAAAGATTATTAAATGGTTTAGTCTCAGTGTAGCTGTAGTTTAATTAAAATTAAATATTAAATCATGAGGATTAGATGATCTTCATTCATGTATTGGTATTCATTAGGATATTCATTCATTTCAATCATTCATCAAATTTTGATGAATGATTGAAATGAATGATGAGAAGAACTAGGCAAAGAGATGTTGTAAGTTGGATTCATTAATTAGCAAGGAAAAGTTAGAATGGTTGGTTAGGGTTACGATAAACGTTTTAGCTAATAAGAGGTTCGTTAGGTTAGAAGAGTCTGTAGAAGAGTAGACCCAATTCAAAATTTTGATTTTAGATACAGATAGTGAGGGTTGTGAAAAGAAATAAGGTCCCAGCTTATGATGAAGAGAAATATAAAATAAAAACAACATTAATTAATTAATTTAATGATTAATTTGAACAAATTACTCGAAAATCCTGGCCACGACGCTAGATGGCATCATTTTTTACGGATCAAAACTTTGGCCAAAAAAAACCGCAGCGTCAACGGCACTTTATCATAACACGAGAGTACAAAGTCTTGAAAAATATGGAAAACCGGAAATCTTTAGTAAAAACATTTTGCAAAAATTACATACCATTATTCTAAGTATAATATATGCCAACAGCCAGCAGCTATTTATTCTACATTCTATATATTCTACTATTTATTCTACATCTAATCTACTTTAGTCATAGATAGAAATTTCTTTATTATCGTTATATATATATGATGTAAAATTGTTTTCTAATAATATTAGAATCTTAGACCGAACAATTTTTTATTCAATCGCAAATAGTCTAAATTTTTTTGTATTATACACAACATACTGCTTGTAAACAACCCTGAAGATTTATGCCTGAACCAACGCTGACTTACAACTTTGACTAATATATCTGCTAACCAAAAACTTTAAAATCACTTTTTAATAAATTTAAATTTCACTTTTTAGGTTTAGAGTAACTTTTCACCATTTCATTTTATTACTAAAAATTGCTTTTTATAATTATAAAGAGCAGTATTGAGTTAATAATTTGCATATCCTTATATAACCTTTCTAAACGAGTGATGAAAAAGTTATTAAATGAATTTTTCTCTAAAAATTACTAAAAATAATCTATTAAACAATATGCACACAAATTTATCTATTGAATAAAAAAATTACAGTATATAATTTCACTACTGGGAGATTTTTCCCTCAAAAAATTATTTGGTCAAGATGTTTTTTCCAAAACATTTTGTCCAGATGTAGGTGGTCCTAGAACCATGACAAAAATATCGGAGATAAACTAAGAAAATAAACTCTGAATGGTTTCGATGTTATTCAATAACTTCAGTCATGTGAGTATCAAGCTATTTTTCATTACACAATCCATATTTTTCATGATTATGAACAAGGATGTATAATTAAATTATTCGCGAAAATTGCATGCATATTCATCATCTTAATGATGGTTAGGTAGAATAATTAGCTCACAAATGAATGTAATCTATTGCTCTCAAGATCAGAATAAGTTTTGAAAACAAAACTCAATAATCTTTACACAAAGTTGTGGGCCAGAAGTAAAATAATCAATCATGAAGTTGCTACTTCTTTTATTATTGCTATTCATCAAATGTTAGTAGACGAACGAATGTACTGAAAAACACTAACTTAAAAAACTTGCTAATTTTTACACAGGTTTAAAGGGAAATAATCAAGCCGTACACAGGAACAAAGTTATTCACATAATTACATATGGAAACAATATAAAGAATTTCCATCCGCACAATTACTTGGATGCAATCACATGGTGTAAAAAAACAGGAGGGCGTTTGTTGGAGGTAAAAGATAAAAATGAACAGCAAAGAGTGAAAGATATGGTCAAAAGTATGAATATCCGTGAACCATTTTTCTTGGGTTTCGACAGGAAAGTTTTTGGCATAAAGGATACGTTTTCTGTTGTGGAAAATGGCTATGTGATTTAACACGATTTATTTAAATTGAAAAATTACTTCACATAATAATAACTGTGACATATTCGCATTACTAATGGCGAGATGGTGTTGCGGTGACTGGGATTGGATGCAAAGAAATTCTCGTATACCCCACGCAATGTGTGACGTGTGAATGGTATGTAGTTTGAGTGGCGTGATGGCCTAATGGTTAAGGTTTCCTGGTGCTGTTTCACAGTCACCGGGTTCGAAGACGACCAAAAGATGCCCACCTATTGTATGTGATGAGTCGTTTAGCACATAGTCATATAAGATGTTTGTGCCTCTTGTTGATTCATATAAAACTTTTTTAAACCTTTCTTAAAAGATCACCATCTATCATACACAATGTGTATGATGCGTTTTGTTTGTTGTGCTTTAATCTTGATCCGTCAATTGATTTTTTAAGGAAGGAAATCCAGAAAGTTAAATGTGCCAATTTTTAATATATAATTATTTTATGTTAATTTGTAAAATTTTTCAGGAAAAAATGTTTTATCAGTGATTAAAAACTATAGAATGGACGGTAATTTTATTTTTATTTCAAATGTCCTTGGGCGTTTAAGCACACAAGAAGTTTAAGTTCTTTTGCAAAAGCAAAGGGAAATAATGTTGTTGGCAGACATATACATAGACATTATAATTTTTAATTCAAGGTTCATGCAATGAAAATTATACTTTGTCACATAAGAACGCGTGCTACATGAAAGTTGAAGAAGAGTTAATGTGGTACGAAGCAAGAAGCCATTGTGTTGAAAGAGAGGGAGATCTGGTAGATATCGAGGAAAGTAAACACCTGAAGTCATGTTTTTCAGATCGTGATCAACCATATTGGCTTAGACGTTCTAGAATAAGATGGGCTTGGAGGACTGATAAAAGTTTATTAAATGATGAGTTAGATGATAAGCTGGTGAAAAATTGATAATATATGTTTAATAACAGTTAACGTTTATAAAAGTGTTCAACTGAATGTTTAGCACAAACTTTTTGAAATTAATTTTTAAAATAATACATTAATCAATCATCGTTTAGCGTCCAGAGACCCAGTTTTCCCGAGGTAGGACGTTGTTTTCTTTGCCCTCAATTAGGCGATCAGTTGTATCCATTTCATTTAAATTTAGCTCAGACGTGGCTGTTAAAACAATATCATCAGCATATATTAGATTCCAAATGTCACCAGTGCGTATCAGCTTTGTGATTTCTTCCATCAAAGTTATAAATAACAGTGGACTGAGAATCGAGCCATGGTGTACTCCAACGCAATATCAAAATGCTTCTGTGTTTCCAACCGTTGTGCTGACGAGAGTCTTAGTATTCGTATACATTTTCATCACAAGTCAAACAAGATATTCTGGAATGAGTTTTCGACGTAGACTCCACCTGATTGCTTCACGGAGAACTCGATCAAATGCTTTTTCAAGGTCTACAAAAATGTGTGATAGTTGTTGATGCTTTGCAAGGTACTTTTCTTGCAGTTGCCAAAGGATGTGAATTGCATCACTTGTTGGTTTTCCCGCTAAGAAACCAAATTGATAATTTTCGATTGTGATGCACGACGTTAATCTTCTCTCAATGATTTTCTCGACAATTTTCAGGAAGTGTTCTAACAGACGTATACCTTGATATGATGAACAGTTCATTAGATCACCTTTGCTTTTGTATAGCGGGACTGTTATGCCATAGTTCCATTCAGTCGGCATTGAGCAATTTCTCCAGATTTCACGGCAAAGTTGTAGTAACGTTTGGATACCTGCAGTACCAGATGTTTTGATAATGTCATCCTTCATAGTTTTCAGAGCTTCTGTGAGCTCCTCTACAGTGATGTCTAAAATCGGACCTTCGATGGGTAGAACGTCAAAGTTGACATTGATGGGATTTGTTTCATTTAACAGACAGTTGAAATATTTATTCCATTTTAGCTTGATCTCATCTTGTTCAAGAACCATCTCATTTTTGTCGTTTTTGATACACGAGGCACCAACTATGTCTTTTTTCGTAAACTTTGCTTAATTTGCTATACGATACAAAGATTTCATTTGTTCACCTTTGCTTTTAGTGAGCTACTCTCTGCACTGATCTGTCCGAGCCAATGCGACTTGACGTCTTGCATAGTTGTTCTCTCTCACAAAAAATTTTGTGGTCATCAACAGATTTTGATTTATGCCATTGCTTGTATGCAACTTTCTTTTCAGCTATTGCATTTTGTACACTGTCATTCCACCACCAAGTGTCCCGTTCATGCTGGCGTTTTGTACCAGTTTTCACACAAATTGTAGTTGCAGCGTTTATCAAACGGTTTTGTATGTACTCCAATCTGTACAAGATTGCGATTGGTGGTCTAACTGTGTGGCGACAATCTGTTGAAATTTTTTTCGATGAATATTCATTTCAGCTTCCACGTTTTGATTCTCCGAGGCATTTGTTTAGACTTATGTTTTGACAGTTTGACAACCTGGTCTGCCACAAGGAGTCTATGTTGGGCGACACATGATTTGCCAGGTATAACTTTAACCTTTTTGAATAGCCTTTGGTGTTGTTGCTTGACAGCGAAGAAATCAATTTTCGTGGCTGATGGTCCACTTTTGTATGTTATGAGATATTTCAACCTCTTTCTAAAATATGTGTTCAGTAAACAAAACCCGTGACTTTCAGCAAACTCAAGGATGCGGTTGCCATCTTCATTCCGTTCTCCATAGCCAAAACCACTATGTACGTTGTCAAAATCATCTGTTTTCTCTCCAACGTGGCCATTGAGATCGCCTCCAGTCAGGATTGTTTCAGATTTTGGTATTGTTGAGATGGTGTCAGAGAACGCAGCCCAGAAGTCATTTTTCATCTCTTCTGATTTGCCTGCGCAGAAAAAATAGTCATTGTTTGCTTTTCTATGCGAATCTTGATCCATATGAAACGTGAGTTAATCCTTTTAATATCCGGTACTTCTTGGGCTAGCGGTTCTTTGACAAAAATTCCAACACCATTTTTGGCCGTCTTTTGACCACTCCAGAATAGTTTATATTTTTCTTTGTTTGAATTGATATGACAGACACCATTCGATTTCCACTGGGTCTCCTGAAGGCAGAAGATGTCAATCTTTCTACGCTCGTGCATTTTTGCGATTTCCATGCTGCGGCCAGTCAGTGATCCAACATTGAGCGTTCCAAGTCTAAGTACCAAAGAGGGGCCATTCTGAATTTTTCTGCAACATCACTCTGCTATTGCATATTTCCCATAGATTCTTGGCACCCCTTGACCACTTATGGCCTGCTGGGGACTAGGAGCCGTTGTTTTTTGTGATGGCATGGAATAAATTTTGGAGAAACTTTTTACATCCTGGCACCTATCCTGACGGCAACCACCAGTATAAGCGGTGGGCCTAGCTTTTTGCTTAAAAGCACGCAAGGCAGCGTGGATGCAGTTTTATGTCATGCCTAGGACTATTTTAAAATAATACATAACATTAAATATTGCTTGAATCTTAAATTTTTTTTTATATTATGTTTACACAAATTAAATAAATGCAATAATTTTATGCAACTAAAATTTCACTACACTTAATTTTGAAACATCATTTAGCAAGTTATACCAACTGGAATTATGAATATGAATTAAATGACGGATGTGATGGAATGAATGTTGGTACATCGACCTGGAAAGTAACAAACTGCATGCCAAAAAGGAAAAGGAATAACGATAGAACATATATTTTAGTTTGTAAAAAAGGTTTGTTTTTATTTAAATTAATTTTCACTAACCAAGATGGTGGCGTGATTAGTTAAAAAATTTTGTATCCCAACCATGTTCTTTAGCCTAACTGATTTAAAAAACCATGACTTGTCTTGCAAAAGCATCGTGGGTGACTTTGAATAATATGGAAAAATTACTAACAAGATTTTACACAATTAGTTTTCATTAGATTCATAAGCAAAATGCTATTGACAAATTCATTAAGAAAGCAAGAATTAAAAAATGGAAAAATTGGAAACCCGACAAAACTTGGATAATTAATATTAAGGAATGAACTGGAGTAGGAGAAGATTGTACCTCAGAGTTAAAAATTATAACCAAGAATTAAAATAAGATTTTGTAAATATTTTTTAATAAATTCTTCAAAAATCGATAAATCGATATTTTTCAAGTTTAACACGATTCAGTAGGTTGATAATTAAATTAATTAGATAAAGAAAGTCAAATATTAATCAGAAAACCCGAAGGATCTATTTCTTCACAAACCAAATTAGCCACATCAACCGTCCGTGACAAGTTGGCCGACTTTGATTCGAAGGAAGACAAACAGAGTGTGATCATTGTGTGATCATATTCATTTTTATTTAATTTATAAATTAATTCAAAAATGGAAATATTAATTTTTGAATTTTCGGCCCGTCACCACATAATACATAAAACAGTGCAGTTGTAATTTTTAAGATGGAAACCGAATTCGTTAAATATGATTTAGAAATCTGTTTTATAATATTCAATTGGCGAGTTAGCTCAGCCGTTAAAAGTGCCATGTTTTTAACGCATGAAGACCTGATTCAAATACAACCAGTTCATATAACTGATTTTCTGACTTTTTTTGTATATGATAGAATGCTTTCGCGTACAAGTGTGAATGTTTGTCCTGGAAATGGATAATTAAAATTACTGACTAAACTGGAGTAGGAGAGGATTGTATCTTGAGTTTAAAAATTAACACCAAAAATAAAAAAAAAGATCTTTTAAATGGAAAAAATGTGAATTCCCTTACTTTTAATAGTTTGTTCAAAATCGAAAATAAAATTAAAAGTGTTTTAAATAAATTTCACTATTTTTTTTTTATTTAAAACAGTTTTTAACATTAACGCGGTTCATAAAGTTGAAAACTAAATTAATTAAAAAAGGAAATTTCGCAGATGCATCGGATGCAACGGAACGAACAACAAGATCAAAACAATCCAGAAAACCCGAAACAACTATTTCCCCACAAACCAAATTAGCCACATCAACCGTCAGTGACATGCTGACCGACGTTGATTCGAAGGAAGACAAACAGAGTGTGATCATTGGTATTTATATATATTTTTTTAAATTTATAAATTAATTTAAAAATGGAAATATTAATTTTTGAATTTTATGCCCGTTACAACATAATGCAATTGACCGAATTCGTTATACGTGATTTGCATCACTGTTTTATGACATTCATTTGGCGAGTTAGCTCAAGCTTTAGTTGAAGTGCCATGTTTTGTGTCGACATACATCAAATGCAACCAGTTAATATGCCTGATTTTCATACTTATGTGCGTATGATGCAAGTAACATGCAAGTTGTGAATGTGTGTCGAGTGGTGTGAAGGTTACGCTACTACCAAAAAATTTATTCTAGACAATTATTATATCAACTATTATGGTCTTAATTGACATTAATATTTTTATAATATCATATTATTTTGCTTGATTCAATTTTGTACATCGACTAACTCTTTACTCGCGACAATAAAATGACCCACTCAATCAAAATTTGAATCATTCGGAACCGGCAGGACTCAGCCTGACGATCCTGATCATCGTGGTGTCCCTCGTTGTCGCTGGAGTTGTCATCTTTATCCGAAGAAGAAGAAGACCTGACAATATAAGATACGTCTGCTTCAACATGTTTTTCATTTATCGTACTTCATATTTTGTTCAGTCCTTTGGTGATGCACTGTTACGAGTATTATTAGTGATGCCTGTATTCAGAGCACTTGCAGGCTTCGTGTTTTTGCCTGTTTGTGCGGTTGATACCTCTTTGATTTAAAAGCAGAATAAAACTTTATTGAATGATTTAATATGTGTTGTTATTTTTATATAAATTTTTTTTATAGACATTTCTATAATTTTATATACACTTTGAGTTTTGGTTGGGGACAAATAACAGTTCAAATGTCTATAAAACATTTGCAGTATCAGGAAATTAACTTTTATTAAAAAATCAAAACGGCAGCTAAGTACAAATTAAGTAATTAGTTCGTAATAAGACCTACAGGATGTATTTAAAAATGCCACATCATTAATAATTAATTTAATTGATGACAAGCAATTAAAATAATAACTTGGTGCATCTGGCTAATTATTCAATAATAATGAATGAGATAACATAACAATACCTATAGAAGATAAATACTTAAAAACTGGAAGATTACAATAGAATTTGATATGTTTATTTATATATAAGAGTAAATTTAAAAAATGTAACAAATAACATTGTGGGTGTAATAAAGAATTAGTTTGATGGTTATAATTAATGGGTAAATGACGATGACATATTGGTGAAAATGTTAATCGGCAAGACAAAATTGGATAAGTAGTTGAGCACATGATACGAAAAGACAATAATTCGCAATGAAACAATATCAACATTAATAATTAGATTATAATCAAAGATTTATTTAAATCAATAGATTGTAGATTATTTCTAAAAATTGCATGTGAAGTTGAGGAAACCACTTCTGCCGGCAAAGCGTTCCATACCCGGACAGGACAATCCTGTCACGGTAGAAATATTTTATTGTATTGTCGCTAGCATTGAAATCCTTCAATCGGCATTGATGACCACGAGTTGACAAATAACGTAAAGTTATGAAATGACTGGTTAGGTCAGTCTCGATGAGGTTGTGTACAACAGGCACAGAGCGAAAATCAATCTACGATTTTCGAGTGTTCATAATCCAAATGCGTGTAGTCTAGACCGATACTGAAGGTGACATATTGACGGGATGGATTTAGTAGATCTTCTTTAAACATTTTCAATCTTGATCACTTGATACTTGATACTTGTAGTGCGGACTCCAAACTGGTGAGCAATATTCTACTAGTGGTCGTACATACGTGCAGAAAGCTTTCATAAGTAGATCTTTATTTCTGGAGATGAAACATCTGATGAGTGAGCGTGCACAAAAAGAAGCCATGTGAGTGATGTCGTTGATATGAAGATTGAAGTTGAATTTGTTGTCAACTATCACTCCTAAATCTTTAAATTTGTTTATAAAAATTAGAAGTTGTTGGTCAATTAAATATTGATGCGGAATTTAGGCAGATCTTGGGGAAGGAAGAAACGATCAGTAAAAACATTTGTTTGGAGAAAATGGTAGTTGCTATTTGATACTCCAAGCAACTATGTCGTTAATGACCTGTTGAAGTTGAGCTGAGTTGGAAGAACGGCAGTATGATTCAATATCATCAGTGAAAAGCAAAATTGAAACCGTTGTTGAAGAGGTGCACTCAACAATGTCGTTTATAAAAATCAAAAATAGGGTGGGACCCAGGACACTACCCTGTGGAACACCACTAGTAACAGGTACAGAACCTGATAACTTACTTTGAATCCGGACTTGTTGCGAACGTTGAAATACGAAGTCTGTCGACCAGAAAAGCAAATTTCCAGAAATCCCGTAAGACTTAAATTTTCCAACTTGCTTTGAGTGCGACACAGAGTCAAAAGCTTTTTAGAAATCCAGGTAGATAGCGTCGCAGCTTCCCTTGTTTTGACGTATTGACATCCAGTCACTCTGAAATTGTAGTAAGTTGGAGCGGGTAGATCTGGCAAGTAAAAAACCGGGTTGAAAACTAATGACCTAACGAAAAGATAACATTTTTACGTTTGGTTTATAAATTGCAATCATTATCTCTTGTAATCCAGTTTTCCAGGTATACAAACTAATTTAGCTGTTCAATATTTCCTCCACCGATTATAATGTCAGCTTGGGTATTATTTCCCATTACCATAACTTTTTTTCTTTATTAGTCATCAGTCCATAACTTTTTTCGCTTTTATAAATTTCTGTCATTAGCTAGTAACTCAACTTTTACCCTAACCAAAAAATTAATATTACGTTAATTTAACCCTCCTATGGTGTTGTGGTGTAAATGCAATTCAACATTTAGCCCAGTTGTCTTTAATGTAATGGACCTAAATAACACTACAATTTTTAAAATTTTTCGACTTTTATTCATTTTAATAGGTAAATATATTAATATCAGTTTCATACGCATAAAATTCTTGGACTTAAGGTTGTCTGTCGGAGGTTCATTTGCACCCCAATTTCTATTTCAAAGTTTAAGCATAATTTTCAATGTTTATTTTACGCTAGGCTAATTACGCTAATTTAACCTTCCAATGATGTTGTGCTGTAAATGCAATCCAACATTTAGCCCAGTTGTCTTTAATGTAATGGACCTAAATAACACTACAATTTTTAAAATTTCTCGACTTTTATTCATTTTAACAGGTAAATATATTAATATAATATCAGTTTCATACGCATAAAATTCTTGGACTTAAGGTTGTCTGTCGGAGGTTCATTTGCACCCCAATTTCTATTTCCAAGTTTAAGCATAATTTTCAATGTTTATTTAGTTTTAATTTTATTGTTTTATTATTATTTTATATATACGTATTGTATTTCAGTTGAATGCGTGCCTGTTATTTCTTTCTTCATAAACAATTTTTTGTGTATTTGTTTCTGTTATCCATAGCAACAGAACTTTATTGATTCAAATCAAGAAAATCACACCGTTGACTAGTGACAATACATTGCGAAGATTGACTGCAAAAGGAGCAAGAAGAATGGTATTTGAATGTGATATCTGGTCATCTGATGTACCTGAGGATGAAAGTTCGCGCGATGAAACAGCGGAGCACGCTGAAACTAGCGAAGATGAATTTTCTTGCTTTGTCTAGTAAAACTGAAATGGCAAAGTGACGCAATCAGAAAGAAAGAGATTCAGATAATGATGATTTAGATTTGATAGCAAGAAGAAGATCTTGTTGTACGTGGCCAGTTGTGTTGTTTTACAGCATCTTGAATGCTTACATCAAATGGTGCCACAGCAATCCTCAACAACTCATCAACAAAGGCTTGTTCCCAAGCGGCTTGGAAAAGATTTGGTTTTGCATTATATGTCATCTAGGCTATCTATTCTTGGTTTGTCTACTGCTTTCAAGACTTCAATTTAGAACTATATTCACTAAACAGTTTCAAGAAAGTGACACTGATGTTGAAAAGAATGTGGAAATGGGAGAAGTTATAAGAAAAAAAATACAGCAACAAGGCCCATGCTCAATGTGTGGTAGGAACAAAGACAAAAAATCAAGAACTCTTCGTAAAAATTGCGCCTCATTTGTTTGTGCTGATCATCTTGTGACACTGTACAAGCATTGCAAAGAATGATTATAAATAATTATATAAAATTTGTTTTAATTACAATAAAAATAATTTTTTTACACTATTATTTGTTGTTATTGCTAAAGTTAAAAGAAAAGTTATTGTTAAAAAGAAATTTTTAAATTGTTATTGTTAAACAATAGCAATCTATGCTGGGGTGAAAATGTAAACCCCGACAACATGAGTGTACCAGCGTAATATTGAAGTTAAAGGGTTAATTCCGAATAATAATTTAATTAATATAACAAACCCAGCCCCATTTTGACAAAAAATTTAATGTTTGACATTTCCAGTTTTATGTTATAATTTTTCATACGTTTGAAATAACTTGAAATAATAAATGAGATATTTTGAAATATTATGAAATAATTTACATTACGAATTCAAAAATTACCCAGTTCAAAATTGAGAGCTGTAAATTTTTGAATATAACAAATTTCAAAAAATTAACTTGTAGATACGTCAAAAATGTTTTAAAACAGTTGATATGTTTTATTATTTCTCAAGTCATTGCAGCTCTCAAGCAAGACCATCGAAACCAGCAGAGCCACCAGCACCCGATAAAGTGATCCACTCTGAAGTTGTGAATCTCAAAACGAGCAGTGAAAAGCTAGCAACCAACAACCAAACAGCCAACCAACTCACTTATGTTTCTCTTGATGTCACTGAATTTAACAATCAAAAAGCTTTGAATGACGTTAACAACAGCAGCAACATCATCCCTGATAATGACATCAACTGCAGTAGCAATGAAAGACATGTTCGGAGTAATAATATTTGCATGAAGGAATTCCAGAACAGCAAACCGTCACAGTAGGCCAACTTTAACTAATCCAGTGCTGAGAATAGTCATTAAAAAATATGGTACATTGAATTTCATTATTGATGACGATGATGATGAAATTTGTGTTAGAATAATTAACATTGACGCAAATATTATTTATTATTAAGAATTTCTAATTTTTGTAACTTTGATGTTGGTGGCCTATTACAATATGTTAGTTACAAGATTTTAGTCTCAAGGTTTTTTTGTTTCGATCAATTTAATTTTCTGTTTGTTCTGAATTTAACGAAAAAATTAAAAAAGTAGTGATGATATCTTTTCAATTACATCCGATAACATAAAAACATCAGCAGTCAAATTTTAACAGGTTCTTAAGCCCCAACAAATGTCTAAAAGTTACGTTGTAAGTTTTTGTATGTTCATGAATATATACCTAACCATGAACGTAGAAATCAAATCAACAATACATGACATTGAGCAGCCGAGGAAATTTCAAATTTTTTCACATAACTTGATAGTATTCAGTTCATCCGAAATTGTTTTGTCACTTTTTTCGGTCCTTCATAACCATCCTAACCGCTTTACTCACAAATTCTAAACGAAACTGACCTTTGTAAGTTTTTATTGTGAGATGTTGGCATTTCTAAAACAAAAATTAGATATAATTAAAAAATATTCGGTGGCGGGATGGCCGGGACAACCCCCTTTGTGAGAAGTATTTGTATTAGAAGTCAGATAAAACTCAGTTTTTGCACTTAAAAATGCACCATTTTATGTCAAATAAAAGGTCGCCAGTTTAATCTTGGCCACACTAACATCTTGGTCGCCCCGTCAAAATTTGAAAAAAAATTAAAACATTTTAAAAATTTTGTACCCCCGTCAAAGTTTTCCAGACCTTTATTAAATAAATGTATTATAATATAAAACAAATAAATTAATTTCTTAAATTGAACATTCAGAGTCCGAAAACCTACGATTAGTTCTCAAAATCACAAATAACCTCAAAATTTTAAGAATATCGTACACAAATAAAATGATATACGACAAAGATTAAACTAAAATTTTGATGGCATAGCGTCTGCCTCAACCATTCCCTATTTTTCTGAACGTTTCAAATTAAAAAGTATGTCATTCTTTGAAAATAGGTAATGTTCCAGTTGAATTTAGTTAATTCACCAAGTTTATGTGAGCCTCTTAAATCCAACTGTAAGGTTAATTTTGTTTCAAACGATTTCATTAACGCTTCAATAAATTAATGAAAATTATTTAATATTAATGTTTACTCGTCGTAAATTTTTAATTCTTGCAAACAAACGAAACGCATAGGATGTATGCAAATGTAATGAAAAATCATTAGGATTGTTAATACATTTCCCTCTTTCATTCCTTTTCCTTTTTTTATTCTTTCTCTTTCTCTCTCTCTCCTCTCTCTCTCTCTGTCTTTTTTTTCTCTCTGCCTTTTTGAAAATCACGTGCTTTCTTTCTTTTCCTAACAAAATCAATGACGTTGATGACAAGCAATGAAAAAATCATTCCTAATGACATCAAGACTACCAAAATATGTTGATGCGAATGTGATGTTGATGTGATGCGAATGTGATGTTGATGTTATGCGATGTTGACGTAATGATAATGTAATGTTACTAAAGTGTTATTATAGTGTTATGTATAATGTATACTGTATAATTTATCCAATCATGGGCCGTGTAACTAGCTGGTGGCTGAGCTATTTTAGTTCGTCAGTAAGAAGTTGAAATTTTTTTATCAATCTGTGTGATTCGACCAAAGAGAATAAAAAATGAAAAACCATAAAGGTTATGACTTCGTTGTTTCATTTCATTAACTTCATATCATTACCTTCATTTCATTAATTTTTTATCAATTTAATACAACCTAATTAACAATATAGCTCAACAAATCTGAGTGGTGAAGGTTATAATGATAGTTCAATACTACATACGTTAATAATGTAAGGCTATATAAGTTTCGACACCTTGGATTCTTAGATATTGTTCAAGGCCTCTAAGTTTCAAATAGTTTCAAAGTTTCAAATAGTAAATTTTTTGTAGATGTGATATTTTAAACAACGTAATGTTAAAGTAACATATTGTTGATGTTATGTTTTGTTGATGTATTTTAATGTTATTTTATTTATTTAAAATAAATTAATTTTTAGCGAAATATATGCTGGCTGCTGTATTTGACCGCGGACGATTTATTCCTCACGTACACTAAATAACTCTTTGAAACTAAGCATAAATTATTTCAAACATTTAATTGAAAGATTGTAAACAAATAAATGTTCTATCAAATAATAATAGCAACAACAATTGAAACAACAAACAGCAACTGCAATAACAAGTCTGATGGGGTAAGGTCCTTAATATTCACAACAACTGATAGAGACCCTGTTGAGCGAAAGCCCAAATCTTCAATGCATATACTTTTTTATTATTTGAGAAACACAAAACTAAAATTACTAGACAAATCTTGGACCACAATGTTGAAATCTTACATTACAATAACAACCATTATAATTTACGACTAGCTGAGCCAATACTCATAGAACAAAGACATCCGATAATAAATATTCAACAACGAGCAATTGGAATTCTTTCCACCAATAAATTTAGAAACAGAGGAATCATCGATAATGAAAATACTTGCACCTTGTCAGCCATAACTAACTAGCCATCACTTAACGTCACATCCCGCGCATGCACCAGACAACGCAAATACTGATTATATTACTTATTTCTCTTTGGAAAACTGAGCCCCCGCCACAGGGATCAACCACGGCATGCTTCTGAGGATTCTGTTTTTAATTTCCATTTTGGCAAATAAGCTGCCAACATGGGGTTCACCGACATGCTTCAAAAGTTTTCTGAAATGCTAATTCCACTTTGGCAATCGAGCCTTTACCTTTGGGTTCACCCACAATAGACGCTGAACATGCCCCGATGATTTTTTTATTCTCGAATAGACATTTGAAACACCACCATGGGGTATATCCAAAAACGACGCTAGTCGTGCCCCATGGGTTCTCTTTCATGCTTCTACTTGATTCCCCTTCAGCAATTAAGCCTCCACCGTGGGTGTAACGGGTTCGATATTAACTGAACGCAACAACAGATATATTATTAATCCTCTTTTATTAAAACCTAACTAAATGAATAACCGAGTAAATCAAATTAACGAAAATGCAACGATACAATAACCAACTTTACTAATGTCGACTCCGGCACAAGAGCGAAAGAAAAGAAAGAGGCTTAACTCATTTGTTCAGGCTATCTATTTGCACGGTGCTCTCTCCTAGGTAAGCGCTTGCACTTTGGTCTAGTAACCAACCCACGTGACCATACGCCGCTCTCCCCTAGGTAAGCACTTGTGCTTTGTGCTAGTAACTAGCCAACGTGACCATGTAATAGAACAATTTCTATTACAGTGGGGTTTACCCAAAACAGCTGTTCAATACACCCAGAGGAATCTCTATTAACCAACACTACACAAACACGCACACACTCTACACACACACACACACACACGGATATATGCATACACTAATGCACAAAACAAAACACACACACACACACTACACATAAAAACATACTCAAACACACTATACACATACACACTACACACTATACAGACACACACACATACGCACACACTACACACACGCATACGTATATTTAAAAAACAACATACACACACAAACGCTACACACAGACTAATTCGCATTCTAAAATAACTACCAGAGCTATTAAACAAAAAATATGTTTTGACCAATCTTCAGACTTTTATGAAAAAAAAACTAAATTTTTTTTTATTGAACAATTTTATTAAAAATCAACAAATTCAACTAGAAAAATAAAATAAATTCATCAAAAACATCATTTTATATATAAGATTTCGATTTGCTATAAGGTAAAAATCTATGCGACGATTAATATAAGCATTATTTTTATTACAAAATTTACATGTTCTCATTTTCGTTTTATCTTTCCTTGTTTTCGTGCTTTGACTCTTCTATTCTGGAACCAATATTTAATTTGGCGATCATCCAGACCGATTTCGTTCGAAATTCGATCCCTATCCTTTTTTTCAATAAATTTCTTTTGATTGAATTCCTTCTCCAAGACTTTTTTCTGATGTACAGTGTACACTTCACGGTAAATTTCTTTTGTACTCCTTTTTATTGGTTTTGGACAGTCGGTTTGTT